TTGTTTTTGATATCATTGATCTTATAATAATTTTGTATAGGATATTCACTTATTTTTTTCTTATAATCTTTAATTTTGTTATGTAATTCGCTTATTTCATTATCGATATTTAAAGCAATTATATAACCAGAATCTAACGTTTTAATTTTTTATCATATTTTTTAACATATTTTTTATCATTCTTATTTGTTTGATTAATAAAAATAGCGTAATCCATAGTATTTTTAAAAGTAAAAGAGGAAAAAGTAAAAGGATTCTTTAAATTACCATCATCACATGATGATAATACTTCTATTTTTTCAGATAATAATGGATTTGACAAAAGAAATAAATTATTAGGTAATTGTCTTGCTTTAGTAAAAGATAAATTAGATGGAATAATTTTATTTCCAATTACTTTTGTTGTCATTTTTGTTAATGGTTTAATAAAAAGAAATAGTATTAACGAAATTATACAAAAAGTTTGTGAAAAAATTAGAGAATTTTTTAAAAAATTTATTAAAAAAAAAAAGAATAAAAATCTATTTATCTATTTATAAAAAAAAAGAATTTATCTTGCTAAAATAATGCATCTGTAATAGAATGAGAAGACAATCTATAAGGGAACAATACAAAATTAAAGCTTTATCTCACTAAAATAATGCATATGTAATAAAATACGAGAACAACATAAAATTAAATTTTATATTGTGAAGGAGAACAGGGCAGTTTCCACTAAGAAGCAGTAGGCTCCCCAATGCCTTCTTGCTACATTACTTTGTTTTCTTTTTCTATTTCTCGCATCTATAGCTCATTATAATTACTAATTATATTTCTTGCCTAGCTATAGATTCCACAATCTCAGAAATACTATTTTGTAATCTTACTTAGCTATACTCTTTGAAATCTGGCACAAAAACCCTAGGATGTTTAGAGATGCCTAAAGGGGTCAAATATATTCACGGGTTGAGAAGCATCAAAGATGCAGAGCATATGTATACAAGATATATTCACGGGTTGATGAGCATTGAAGATGCAGAGCATATGTACATAAGATATATTCACGGGTTGCGGAGCATCAAAGATGTGGAGCATATGTATATAAGATATGTTCATAGGTTGAAGAGTATTGAAGATATGATGAGTTGTAAAGCATCGAAGATGTGGAGCATATGTACACAAGTTATGTATACAAGATATGTTCACAGTCTGCATTTGTATGATTCCAATCAGTAAATCCTGAGATATTCATGTCCAAAGTAGCCAGAGCTGTTAAACAGTTTTCTTATCACAGATTAGCCAAATAGACCCACTCCTTCGGTCAAGACCTTTAGGAGAAAAAAAAGTTGTCCTAAAATCTATGATTGAGGAACTGAGGTAGGAGGAGAATTAATCAATTGAATAAAAATTTTCTGAGAATATTATTACATCGCGAAAGATATTCTATATAAGATGTCATCTCGTCAAGCTAGCCAAGCAAATATTTGTAAAGAAATTTGAGCCAAACTTGCAGAGTTTAAAGGAGTAATGTTAGACGTGATACCATACTTACGTTCTAATGATTTGCTTGCTAAGTATTAAGAGGAAATCACATAACTTCAGGTGGTAACTGAGAAAAAAAGGAATAGAATGCATGATGTTTCGCAAAGCAAATCTATAGATGAATTAGCTGACTGGTTAGCAGGTCCAATAAAGGATTCTAAGCCAAAAGAATCTGAAAATATAGATCCTGTTACATTCGATGAATGGGCAGACAAGCAAGGGTGGCTAGGAAAAGAAAATCCAGAATGGCATGAGGATAGATCGATTTGGTGGTTTTCAAGACAAATTCTAAAGTTATCGCCCCAAAAGGTAAAAAATGAACATGGGTTTTGGTATTGGCATCTTGCTATAGAGGCATATAAACCACATATAACAAATAGTTATACTAAGAACATTCGGGATCTAATGGATAATGCTGAAGAATATGTTATTGGAGTGGCTAATGAATGGGAAATAGGTAGAATAGATGAGCGAATGGAATGGGATGAATCTAGTGATAACTATTTAGGCAAAAGAGAAGTATGGGTTCCAGGAGGAAAGAAGAGTATCATATGGATCTTCATGGATGGCCGTCATTGCATGCTCATTTTTATTAAAAAGTCAGCCTGGATGAACTTCTAATAATAGATAAGAGAGGGTGGTTATCCTGGAAAGATTTAGATGCGATAAAAATTGATGAGTATCAAGACGAGCCATATAATCTTGAGCTAGAAGTTCAGCCCTATACATTACGTTTCCAGTTCATGGCATGCTCGTGTCAAAAATTATATGGTTCAGGAATTCATGAAGATGGAACTGTATGATTGCATAGTGATAAACTAGTCTATGTTAGCTATGGAATGGCATTAGAAGCTTGCCGTCTTCTTTATCAATCTACAGAATATACTCTTTTTACTAGACTCTATACAGACGGAGGAATTGTAGAAGAAATGGGAGATAAAGGATGGCATTTTGATAAAAAAAAGAAAGCCGAAAGTCTTACTAGAGAAGAAATTATGCCAGGGCAACTAATGGGAATTGACGGATTTTTAGTAACAAAGACCCGAGAGTATGTTAACCATATTTGCTATGAACTTCGACCAGTTCTGAGACCACAAGGACCACCAGGACCATTTTATGATGATGACTTGAATTGTAACATAGCAGAATTACAAAGACTAATAGAGCATAGAGAAATAAAGCGGGCTATAGGGCTAACGCTTGCTCGTGAAAGTGCCCTTGCAAAATTTAATGTAAAGGTATGAGCACCCAGCTGTACTTTAGATGATTTGCATATTCTTGAAAAGCCGGAAAAATCTGGAGATATAGGAATGAAAATCATCATTAAAGATATTTTCAGTAACAAAATGTGAAATAGTGGTAGGTATCTTAAATAACGTAAGCTAACAGTATTTTGCCATAATGATCATGCATAGACAGGAGACATACCTGAAATGCCTCGAGTATCTTCAGTCTATGATATAGACTATGAATGTGAAAGAGCACTTGTTTTTGCATGCATGAAAATTAAGAATGGGGAGGTTAATATTGACGAAAAAAAGATTGCTGAAGCTCTTATATTATTTGCCGCAAGAAACCTTCCAAGAGCTACAAGAATATGGATTGTAGGTAAGGAGATTCTAACTTATGAAGGTATTCTTTATCGTAGTTCTCATGAATGGAAGAAGCTGAACGACGCATTCATATGTGAAAATTCGCAATCCATATCTGAAGAAATTTTATGGGAAGAGAATGTAGATATTCGTCAATGGATCGAAGATGAGCGAATCCTTTTGGGATCGCATCAATCTAATATGCTGGCTCCTTCAGAAGAGCTTATAGCTGAGTTTGATAAAGTTTGGAAGTCACTAGGGGGCGTTCAGTCTTATCAATTCTGTTGCTGGTGAGAAAAAGAAGCTATTACACCTACGCCTAGAAATGTTGTAGAGATCTGACGTAAATCACAGGTGGAATCAATAGTATGGAATGCACCAATAGATCATCTCCCAAGCATATTCACATAGATCTTCATGGAGCATATATTAGCTGTGAAGATTCAGAACGAAGCGCATCAGAAGCATTGCCTTGAGTCAGACAATATGGATTCCCAGAAAGGATACAACAACGTACTCAAGTTGACAATATTGATACTATTCACAACTTGACAGGAATTGTTCAGCTTATAGCATGGCAATTTGCTCAAAACTTGCATCCATTTACAGCAGGGCTTATTGGGCAACATCTTATAGAAAAAGAAGGCAGGATATCAACGTCTTTAGTCGATTACTTGCTAAGTAAAGGAAGGCTTATAAGTGCAACTCCAAGAGAGATCATATACAGTGTAGGCAAAAAGTCCTGCATTGAGTTTCCACCAGTCATAATTTAGTTGTCCGCTTTGTGGGCTCTTGTGCTCGTAATGCGCAAGTAACATCTATTTTAGTCCAGAATATAAATGAAGCAGATATGTTAGTCAACTGGCTAGCAAAAAATAAACAATGATCAAATTGGACCTGAATAGAGCAAGGAACTTTAATCAAGTATGAAGGTGATAAAAAGCGTGAACAATGGTTGCATATCTGTTTTTTTGTCCTTGCCTATACCCATATTGCTGTACTCGAACAGCTAAAACGTTTTCCAATAGAAAATGTATTACAAGTATATACAAATGCCATTTACACCACAGCAATTCCTGAAACTATTTTAGATGAAAGTGTTGTCGAGTTGGGGTGAGAATTGTTTCCCAATTTTGATAAAAGCCTCTTTGCTAAAGCGAAAATAGTGTAGAGTTAGAAGAAGTACATGTGAAATATGGAGCTGAACTAGATAAAAAAAGAAAGCAGTATGAATCAGTTATTGTTCTAGAAACACCAGAAATTAAATATGGCTAATAGCGCAATAAAAAAGAGGGATATACTTATCGTAAAGAAGCATTATCCTGGGCTATCAATTATGAAGGTATACTAGAGATCCCTCCAAGCAACGCATACCCTCTTTCTATTGATTCACAACTAATAACATTGTAAAAAGCTTATCTAGTTGGCCAAGACAGTAGTGGAAAAATAACACGAGCCATTCGTGCATTTCCTGGTCAAAAAGTTGTAGTTCTAACATCAGCAAATTTACTTGCTTGCAGAATAACATAGAAAGCAAAATCCAGGTTTAACGGCTATGATATATCATAAGTATTTTCATCTAGAGGCAACACCTATCGATGAGTGGGACCCCGCATATCTTGGAAAAAAAGCTCTGCTAAAATACTTATCTTTAATGAGGCATGTATGATTCTAAAGAAGGTATTACAAAGATTATTATCTTATGCCGAAGGTCGTAGGTGTCATAATATTATGTGTGGTAATCCAGGCCAACTTACGTCATAGCGTGATAAAGAAGGTCCACATAAATTTCTTACTGAGTGGGCTGATGAAGTAATCTGGTGTATAGACAATTATCATGCTTATGATCCCGAACTTAAGGCATTAAAATTACGTATGTGGATGAAAGATGATATGACCCAATTGCAAGAATTCCGTGAGGTTATACCTACAACATCATGGAATAATACACTTACTGAATGGACTTCAGAAGATATCTGGATTTGCTTCACAAATGATATGGGTATGCGAGTTGAAAGTGCATTAATACAGGACCATAAGTCACGCTTTCCCAATGTATCCTCAATATCCGCTTTGATTCAAATGAAAGTGTCAGCATATGTATCGCATTCAAGGAAAACCTATACAGATTCCAGGTAGCAATGAAATTATTAAAACATATGTTGGTACGATGGTAAATGTACCACTTGAAATGATACTGCGCAGACTCCCTGCCAAGTGAAAATATGCTGGCTGGGGAACAATTCATAGAATTTAAGGACAGACTGTCGAGCTTCCAAAACGTTGTTTTATTGTGAACTATAGCCTGGAAAGCTGGATTAACAATGCTGTATATACAGCCTGCAGTCGAGTACGATACATGAATCAAATAATTCAAGTTAAACCAGCAGACAGTGTTCTTGAATACATTAAACTTACTGAACTCCAAGCAACTCTTTGTCCCCAAATTATTGAGGCAAAATTAAGACGCCATAGGCTAGATGATCGGAAAAAGAAGCAACACTTTTCAAGACCACTTATGATAGCTAAGGATTGGCAGGTAGATGATAAGACTGATTTGATTGAGAATACTATGGTATGTGAAAATCTGCTCTATCTAGCAGAGAATGATGAGGAAAAAGCTATTTCATTAATCACGTCAGAAGAGATAATTTCTATGGCATATCAGCAAAAGAAAGTTTGCAAGGTATGTTGTGTTCCACTCCTATTCCAAGGCTATTCTAAGCATCATTCACAGTCATTTTCGATTGATCAGATAAATGATGCTGAGGGACATTATCTTCAGAATGTAAAACTTACCTGTCTCCGATGCAATGAAAGATACCGCTGTTAAAGTAGCCGAAAAAAGAGCTATGAGGGCAAAGATCTCAGAGAAATATCAAAATGAATGTATGTCTCACATAGCTAGTTCTTTCCAATAAGCTAGACTAGTGAAATGTCTTAGCAAAATTTTAGCATCCTTTAGTCATCCAAAATTATGTGAACCTAGCGTGGTTGAGCGATAAGATGTGATCCCAAAAGGATCCGCTTAGATTATATATAATATTTTTTTTCTAGTATATTATAATATTCAGTTACAAGTATATCCTCTAAAATGAGAAGTAATCAAAAGCAATCATCTATTAGTAAACCTAGCGAATTTGTAAAAGGTATGGAAAAGCTGGCCAAGTTGTCAGGATTCGATTCCCAAAATGCTATAGTATTTAATATACTTTAATAGAGAAATCAAAGCATTAGAGAAAAAATTGGATGAACAATATTCCCAGATAATAAAGTTAGAACGAACTGTAGACTGGATAAAAAATTATGTAGAAAAGCAGACTGGTTTAGAACATGGCAAAGAACCAACAGATTCATCTGATTCATCTGAGTCATATTATGATTATGTAATACGTAATCCAGAAAAGAAGGTTCACAAAGTAAAATGTGTGAAGAAAAGATCCGGTAATAAGAAGATAAAATGTAAAAGATATCCATCCTGATCTATTAATATTAAATCAACTAATTATTGAATCAGACAATACTCTTTACACATATACTGTTATAAGTATCATATGATATAACTCCCTTAGAGCTACGTATCAGATGACATCCAATGGAAATCCACGCGATGTCACATGATCACGCAGTTATATTCGGGCGATCTGATTGGCTAAAGTACATATATTTTTTTTCCCGAACTTTGAAGGATAATATCTCGACATCCACTGATTGGATTTATACACAGACTCTTTCTTGCTTCAACATGACCACCACTAGACAAACAAAAAATTCAAACAAAAATACACAAAACAAAATACTTTTACTGAACTTTTTATTTCAAACGCTCAAAATACTTCACTTCAAACACCTGCTACTTCTCAAATGAAAAACCCAAACAACTTTGATACTGAAACTCCAAACAAACGAAAAAAATTTTCTTCTCCTTCCCCAAATAATTTAGAAAACCTTATTGAAAATATCATTCTTACCTCCTCCAACAATCAAACTCTTGACTCAGATATGCCAATTATCACTTCTACAATATCGAACAAAAATAAAGAAGACTCCATTATGGAAATAGATAACTCACAACCTCTTGTTTTAATTGACCAACGTACAAACGACTCTATGCACGCTTCTCCTTCAAACTCTACCTCTCCTCCTTTATTAAACAATATGGACATACAAACTCCTGATATCAAAGAAAAAAAAAAGTAACTTGGGATGAAAACTTCGAACCATACGAACAATACATTGCCGATAAAAATGATGACGTCAACAACGAATCTTTTACCATCATCACATCACTAACGCATTTTTATGTGTCAACAGATACAAAGGATGTCACTAGTTCCTCAATTGCAGAAAAACATTACACAATCAACAACTTTTCAGCCACTTTGAAGGATACAGGGGGCTGTACTACAATACTAGACAAAGAAAATTCTATATTTACTTTCATACATTAGACTTCCTTACACAAGCAACGGATAAAGTAAAAGAAACTCAACACAACCCTATTTTTTTGGTAATTGATCCTAATGCAAAACAACAACGCAAAGACGATGAAAAAGGCAGATGCATTAAAGTCAATGACATCCCCTTATTTGTAAAATCAGACATTATACGAAATGTTTTTGAAAAATATGGAAGGATCTGCAGATTTTCAATGATCATCAGAAGTCCTTGGCAAATCGCTTTCATTGTATATGAATCACCTGACTCCATTCAACAATTTTATGATAACACTTGGTCTATCTTATTAATGGAATTTTCAGTTAGAATTGAACCTACCGATATTAATGAACTTCAAACTGCTCTTCATCAACAATTTGAACTTAAACTCACTGGACTTCCCTTCAACACCACTCAATTAGATCTCTCTGATTTTTTGACTCAGATCAAAACCAAATCATGTTTTATTCCAAGAGACCGACAGTATCATCTCAGATCTTATGTATACATTAATTTCAATAATATTGAAGATTACGATAACGCTTTCAACTCACAACAAAAATTCAAAAATCGCATCTTATTTTGGGTTACTTCTGGGATCTAACATTGTAACTCATGTGGTTCCCCTGATCATGAGGTCCAATCATGTGACAATTGCCCTCGTCCCAATCCATTCAAACCTCTTTACGATAGATTTAAACCAGCTCAATACAGACCTAAACCATTCACACCTAAACCTAGCACTTCACGTAATCACGAGTCAAATTAACAATCGAAAAGACCCTCTTATTCTGACTCTATCCAAAATAGAAATGATAATTATATGAACTATTCGGGTAAACAAAATCAAACTCCTC